ATGTACGTAAACATATGAACGTCCTTGAATATTTGGCTGAGCATTTGGATTTATGTGAACATATGAAAGTTCTTGAACATTTTGACGTGCTTGAAGATTTGGTGAATGTGTCTGAAGGTTTGCCTGAAGGTCTTGAGCTTGAAGATTTGTTGGATGTGTCTGAAGATTTGAACCTGCCTGAATATTTTGACGTCCCTGAAGATTTGAACGTCCTTGAACATTTGAACGACCTTGAACATTTGGACGTCCTTGAACATTTTGACGTGCTTCTTTTGGACGTTTCCGAACATCCTGACGTGTTTGAATATTTGGACGTGTTTGCTGAACGTCTGTGATTGGCTGGTCTTCATTTAAATGGTTATGAACATCCTGATCATCCTTTGAACTTGATGGCTGAACATCTGTAATTGGCTGATCTTCATTTAGATGTATCTGAACATTTTGATGTGCCGGATCATCCTGAACATTTGGACTTGCTTGACGTGATTGTTGAAGATTTGGATGTGCGTGATCTTCACTTGTACGTGCTTGTTGAACGTCTGGAGTCGGTTGATTTTCATTTGAATGTTTTTGAGTATTTGGATTTGCCGGATCATCCTTTGAACATTCCTGAACATCTGGATGTGCGTGATCATCATCTGAATGTGTGTCAAAATTTGGTAATGGCATCTTCACTGATTCATGTTTATTATTTAAAATAGGAATCGGTATTGAAGGAATGATGATTTCCGGAACCATCGGAGTTTCATTTGAAGGAATGATGATTTCTGGAACCACCGGAGTTTCATTTGAAGGAATGATGATTTCTGGAACCATCGGAGTTTCATTTGAAGGAATGATGATTTCTGGAACCATCGTAGTTTCATTTGAAGGAATGATGATTTCCGGAGCCATCGGAATTTCATTTTTTGGTATAGAAGTAATCCTTGGGCGTTTTACAGAACGAATATTTGTCTTTGGCGGTATCTCTTCGCTTTCCTTTTTGTTTTGACCCTTTCGTTGATTATTGTTGGTAATTTTCTTGGTTATTTTACCCATGTCGACTAAACAAGAATTTGATAAAACAACCAAATATTTTTTTTAATCACATGATTAATAAACAATAACGTTTGGCATATTAAACATAATATTTTCTTACCAATATGGAAATAATATAACTTCAAATTACTAAATTACCAAACAAAATTATACAAAAAGAAAAGATTTAAGCTTATTGAAAAGTATTATAACATTTTCTTACTATTACTCAAAGAGTATTATACTCAAAAACCTTACTTTTTGTTAAGTTTCTCTTCGTCTTTATAAAGTTTGTTAGAAACAGTCGGAAAAAAATTTTTTGTCAAAAGCAAGGAAGTAAAATTATCTTTGAATAAAAAAAAAAAAAATAGCACCACACCAATCCAAATTTATAACCATATTACTCCCACGTGTCCGGTGACATATAATAGGTAAAATACATATGAAAAAATAAACAAACTGGGTGTGAGTCATGTGGGGTGAAATACGTGAAATATGACGCGTTACGTCAAAAAAATATCATATATGGAGGTGTGTTTACTTAAAGAGCCATGGTAATATATTCAGCGTATCCTGTCTCAGTTTTCAGATTCATTCCTTTTTAGTCATAGCATTTCGGGTATAATTCCCTTTTAGAGAAAGACTCACAATTTTCTAGTGAAATTTATACTATCCCTTAAATGGTTAATATAAAATTATTCATTAAAAATTAAAAGAAATTAAGATATTTTGATATCTAGTAATCATAAAATTTATATAAAATTATTATTATATTAATAAAATATTTTAAAAACCATTTTAAAATGGTTTTAATTAAAAAATAAAATTGCTTTTAAATTTAAAAGCAAAACCATTAAAGGGATAAATTTAAATACTTTACTTTTAATAATAAATTAATCAAAAAAATAAAAAAAAATAAATAACTCTAAAAAATTTTTTTTTGAATTATTTTACAAATAATAAATAAACTAATATTTTAATACTTTTTTAACAAATTATAAATTAATTATTAAAAACTTTATTATATTCATTACCTAATATTATGCTAATATAAGTATCTATCCTTTTTTTCAGGTAAAATATACTGCAAATTCATATGATATGATTTTATATATCTAATAAAAACACATAAAATTTAAAATTTTCATTTAATAATCAATAATTGCTTTTCAAAATTTTGTTTTTTCAGAAAATTTTATATTAAATTACTTTCAAAATTTTATATATTACTGATATTTAATAAAATAAAGTAATCAAAGTAGGGTTAAAAAGTACAGTATTAGTATAATGATTAGTATAATTAGTACAGTTAATACATCATAATAATTAATATAAAAATTAGTATAAGTATAATATAAGTACAGTATTAATTTTATCTAATACATACAAAATTTCTAATCTTAAATTAAAGTAATCAAAAAAAAGTTGATATAATTTATTATAATTTAAAAAAATTTATAGTTTAAATATACTTAAATTTAAAATTTAAAAAAGTGAAAAAATAATTATTATTAAAATCCTATAATTTTTGTGATTAAGGTTGCTGGACGAAATCAAGAGTTTAGACAGACGTCTAAATAGTAAAAGTAAAACTTGGTTAAATTATATTA